ATTTGTGAGGCTGTTGATGTTAAGGATGGTCTGAAGGGGTTTCATGAGGAGATAGTCTATTCTAGTCTGTATGGAAATAGAGAAAACGCATGAAGATCGAGATCATCTTGTGACCCTCACGAGTGGACATGGCGCGAATACAATACAACACCGAGGAGGGTTGACAATCGTTCTTATGATATTTTCTTCCATGGAGACTCCTCAGGTTCGATATGACGTTGTGTTGATTTTTCTCATGTCGAATGCTTCGTTTCACCTGATACATGGTGTTCTATTTGTCGTTCCATCCTCGTTGGGCCTGATGCATCCCCCCAGCTTTATTTTTCTCACTTTGAATCGGCATGGGGAGCATGTTCAGCATGGTCCCTCGTAACTTCCAGTCGAACAAGAAGCTGGTCGTTGTTGGTAGGGATCGTCCCTCGGGTTAATAGTGCAATGGCGAACTCTCAGGTGGAGGTTACGCTGGACAGGGCGCTACTATCTTGGCACAAGACCTTTTCACAGGAGTTACCCAAATCGAGGCGCGCTATGCTGGTTTGGTGCATAAGGTGGGATTGCAGACTACTACGTTATGGCCTCAGCCTCAGCCTTTCTCAGATTGGTGGGGTCCGTGCCTGTGTCCGGCCAGAGTGGGGTAAGCACATGGTTATCCCGCAGAACACTCTGTTCAAGTCAAACGTACACCAGATCTTCAAACCGGTGAGAATAGCATTAGAAAACTGTTGTGGTTAAAGTCCCATCAGGCAGTCGGACTCGACGTGATGAATAGTTCGGTACTGGTGGAAGGAGGCCAAACGGTTCCCTATGATTATCTGATCATTGCTACTGGGGCTGTCAACACTAGTCCTGCTGATCCTCCTGTCAGTAGGTCTACACCTAAGTCTGTAATGGGAGCTGATGGTGCTGCTCTTCAGCATACACCATGACGAAGCAGATTCTCGACTTCTACGAGGAGAGCGCTAAAGCTATTGAGGAAGCTCAAGACATCGTAAGGTTGTGGTTGTTGTAAAGCGTACGATCAGGACCATGCAGATGTTCATTGGTGGTGGCCCTGTGGCTATTGAGATAGCTGGGGAAATCAAACAGAAGTATCCTAGCAAGAGGCTGAGTATCATCACCAAAGGGAATCGAATCCTCCAGCCTGGAGCACTCAAAGGCCATGAAGGGTAGTAGTCTCATACACTATGGTAGTCATTCATCCCGACAGGTTTTTGCCTTCGGAATTTATTTCCCAAGTCGAGTCAGAGTTGAAGGAGCTTGGTGTAGGCGCTGTGATAGTAAACGCTCCGTTGCTAATGTATTTAGTAGATCTATATACGGTCTGGAGTGAGCACGAAAGATATTAATAGGGAGCAGTTCAAGGACAAACCTTTCATCAAGAGTACTACACCAGTCTTAGACTTAATTTCATCTCGTTCTCGCCTTATAGACCCCGGAGTTGTCCACTTCTCTGATGGCAGCTCTGCAAAACCCGAGCTGATATTCTGGTGTACAGGGTAAGTGTATATGATATAAAGGTAATGTATTCTTCGATTCTGACGTTAGGTCCGAGCCTAACACCAGTTGGCTACGTGGTAAGGCTGGTCTACCTGAGGATACTTTTGACCAACGTGGGCGAGTTATAGTCGATGATTTCCTCCATGTGAGAGTTGTCCCGCATGTGATGGCTGGGAATCATGATGATGTCAGGTTACTGGACACCAAAACATTTTCGCCATTGGAGACTGCAACACAGTGAGTGCCAGACATGGTGAGAGTTAGAGTAGATTTTCCAGGTCAATGAAGAGAAGATGATGGCCACTGCTGGTACATACGTGGGGAAGCCACCCAACTGGCCGAAGGGTCAAGCTGATTCGGCTCTAGAGAACATAGTTCAACAAGAGCTGGGTGCATCGCCGAGAATGTAGTTTCCATCATCACAATACAGCAGCGAGAACTGTATTAATGCAGGTATCGACGTCCAGATATCATTCATATGGCGATAACGCTTGGTCATATGCGTGGAGTGACTACTGGGGTAGGAAGGGTCTACGTGGTTTAATGAGATTTTCGTTGCTTGTAGCTTCCTGCTCCAGCCGCTCAGCTGAAGAGTGAGCAGTTCTTCGTTGACCAGCAATGGCATTTGGCCAGGAAAGCCGAGCCTCATCTTTACAGGCTAGATCCTGCTGAAGAAACTGGCCATCACTGAGATTGACCTCATTATGTGGTGCTTTTCATTGAGTATATAACTCTGTACGTGTGAATTTGCTAGTTGGTATGTGGCGCATCGTCATTTTCTCCTGAAGTGATCGTAGTTTTTTCAGTGGTTGTGGA